TTCCTCTATGATTGTGTACGCGCATGATGTACAAGCTGGGGGGCGTACCCTGGGCGCCACTTTTTAGAGGGGCGCCAAATTAACAGTGACAAAGAAAGCGTCAATGAAAATTGGTGTTGGTTTTTATTACCTATATTAATGACATTCAAAAATCTTCAAATTTATTATCATTTATACTTTTTGCAGATGACTCCAACATTTTCTTTTCTCATGAGAATGCGAACCAACTACTTAGAACTGTAAACTCTGAACTAAAAAATGTAACTGACTGGATCAAGGCTAATAAACTATCACTTAATCTGCAGAAGACCAATTACATGCTATTTAGCAACAAAATCAATAGTTTGCCAGGTGAAATTATTTTTGATAACGCTGCTCTTGTTAATGTTTCTACAACCAAATTCTTGGGAGTGTTTATTGATGAAAAATTATCATGGAAAACTCACATCGATAATATATGCAAAACCATTTCACGAAACATCGGTATTATCAATAAACTCAAATACTTTCTTCCTTCTCGAACTCTTCTTACATTATATCATACCTTAATATTACCATACATTAATTATGGGATTATAGCATGGGGATGTGCAATACAAACACAATTAAATAGGATCCTACTGCTGCAGAAAAAAGCACTCAGGATAATATTTCAAACACAATTCAGATATCATACAGATATTTTATTTTTCGAAAATAATATTCTCAAAGTGAAAGATATCTATGTGTTCCAACTCGGCCAATTTATGTTCAAACTAAGTAAAGACGACCTCCCCGCAATTTTTCCCGATATGTTCTGCAAAAATGCCTCTGTACACAATTACCCGACTAGACAACGGAACTGTTATCACTTACCCTTAACACGAACATTATTTGCACAGAATTCATTTGTCTTCGCTGGATGTGCCTATTGGAATTCTCTTCCCAACGATATAAAAGAAGCCCCTAGTCTTAGCAATTTTAAACGTAAACTTAGGAAAACATTAATCAGCCAATACTCCCCACCAACAAGCCAAGCTCAAAAATCTAAACCTACGGAAAGATAAAACAAATCTTTCCTTTTGTTATTCCTCCTTTCTTCCTTTTTTGTTTCTTTTTTAAGAATAATCTAAACAAGCCTAACGACCTGGTGGTGTACCTGCCTCCTGTCCCCATCTCCTTCTTCCTGCCTTTCTCTCGCTCTCTATTTCTCTCTTGCTCTCTCCCCTTTCTCTCTCTCTCTCTCTCTGTTACTATATTTATCTTACTTTTATTTTTACTTTTACTTTTTCTTTTTTTTTTGTATTCCCTTTTAGTGTGTTTTACTGGTATTAGCTTTCGACCATAATTATTTAAGCGTATCCATGTAACTAAGTCAGGGGCTTGCCTCATACAAGCTCTGCTTTTTTAGCAAGCCCCTCCGTTTTGAATTACTTCATCAAGGTCATTTTTTTTCTATTGTTCAGTACTGTTTTTTCCCAATATTTCTTATCGACTAAATTTTGTTCTACATAATACTGAATTTACTTTGTTTATATTATATTTGACTGTATTATATTATGTCTGTTTATATTTTGTTTGTTTTGAAACGGAAATAAAATCTGAAATCTGAAATCTGAACTAAAACAGTTTTTTGTCATAAATACGAAATTCATCCTCCATAACGGTTTCTAGTACGGTATATATATATATCGAAAATCAATAGCTTCAGTGACAAATTCGCCCCCTGGGCACCGCCATTTTTGCGCCCTACGTAAGGGGGAGGGCGCCCTTTTTGCCCTGGAACGCTGAAAATATGTTATATTAAAGGGACATTTTTTCAACATTTTCTTAAATTGGCGCGAAAATGAACGCAAATTTAAGATCTAATGTAATGTAATATTGGTCAAAACGTGACACTAAAATCGTGCGATTGTTTGAATGGGCTTTAGGAGTTTATCTAAATGTTAACTAAAAGTATTTACCAAATCGCATGAATCCAGTATAAAAAAACAACACAATAAATTGACGCCACTGGGCCTACATTTCGGTACTTAAGATATTTTAGTAACATAAGTACCAAAGTTTTAAAATACCCTCGAAACCTAACAAGTTGTATTTTGGGAGTGAAATAGATGTTATCTTGTCGTAACGACTGTTCAAAATCAATAAAGGCTAATTGGGGCACAGTGCCCCAACTTATTCAAGTACCCTAAAGTGCCCCCTTTTTACATAGAAAAGGTGCCCCCTTTTACTTCAGATAAGTGCCCCTTTTTATTTCTAATAGGTGCCAGTTCTACATTCGTATAAGTGCCTCTTACCACCCTATACCTATGATAATTGCCCGTATTTAAATCTGACAGGTGCCCATTCTAGTTTAACAAGTGCTCTTTTCTTTTGTAATAAGTGCCCCTTCCCCTTTTAATAAGTGCCCCTTTTCATCTTTGATGAGTGCCACTTCTCACCTCTGATAAGTGCCCCCTTTTATTTTTACACGTGGCCCCTTTTTCTTTCTAATAAGTACCCTTTTTCCTGCTGATAAATGCCCTTTTTCGTTTTTAATAAGAGCCACTTCCCCTTCTCATAAATGCCCCTTCGAAAACCTCTGATAGATGCCTCTATTAAAATCTCATAGGTGCCCCTTTTCCTTCGAAAAATGCCCATTTTCCCTTGTAATAAGTGTCTCTATTCATTTTAGCTGAGTGCCCCTTTCAGGTGCGAGAAGTGCCCCATTTTCACCTATGATAATTCCCGTTTTTACTTTGACGTGTGCTCTTTTTCTTTTCTAATAAGTGTCCTTTTCCCTTTATATGTGCCCCCGATTCTTGTCACCATAAAATGTGTTCCTAATTAAGGGCATATAGTTGCACATTTTTCTTTGATTTTACCCAAAGCTCGCTCGCATTTTTAAATGATATAATTATGTTTCTTATTAAAGATAATTTCAGTCTTTCATGATTAGATTGTGCTTAAAACCCTATCAGGAAACCCTAACCCTAGGATTGTTCTTTCCTCTTTATAAGATGTAATTTTTCGCACTGCGACCTCACAAATCTTGTTTTATTTGCTCGCTCGCAATGCAAATAAATATTCAGTCCATCACACCCAACTGCAAATATATGATGCTTAAAGCAGTATCTTCGACCATGTAAGGGGGAAACAAAAATTAAAATCATCCCTGATAGTGTAATTATAATGTAGGGGTATATACCAATGTCTAAAAATTGTATATTTCGCTTTGAGATTTCCCTTTGTAGGTGCCCCCTTTTTCCAGAAAGTGCCCTTTTGTGTTGGTGCCCTCCCCCCACACTTTAAAAGACGCTCCGCCACACCTGCATGGACCCCACGCCGTATAATGCTCCGCTCACTTCGCTCGCTATGCTCTACACTCTACACTCAGATTTCAATGTCCCCCAACAAAATTAAAACGGATTGACGCCCCTTGGTAGTTGATACTATTGTTGGCGCTGAAAATAAGTGTTAACTGAGGTCGGATGATATAAAAACAGTAGAGTTAAATAATTTCTATAAATATTGCTGTATATTCCTCAGTTTGTTTGTGTTTTGTTGTTGGTTTTTTTTTTTTTGTAAATACGGGTGTGTAGCATAGTCCTTACATTTTGAATCTTCATACATAATAGATATCAAGATTTACCCTTTGCAAAGTGCTCCGCTACTATGATAAATTAAACCCGCCCCCCCCCCTCCCCCCGATGACAACCAGTCACTGGTCGTTGCCGTGGTGGTGATATAGGAAAATTTCAAGGATATATCTATATTTCGTTTCATTTTGTTGGCAGTAAGGAATTTCTATATGCCTTCGCTTAAAATTGCGAAACCCACAAGTGACTGTTCTTTATCAAAATGCAGGCTGAATATAAACGAAAATTCAATTTCAATCTATTTAAGACTCATATGAGCAGAGTTGCACAAGCCTAAATCCCAAACACCCATTAACAACAAAGCGCTTTTTTGTAGACACTTTAGTACAACAGTAAACACCAGTCTACACCAGTACCTTTTTACCAGAAAAGAATGATACGGATGAATATTTGTAATTATCAAGACAAATAAATTATCTTTTACCGCCCATTTTTGTCCTTTTCTTGCCACCAGAGGATACAGCAGCCTTTCCTTTTCTACCTTGACTTTGACTAGTAGATGCCCTTTATTAGAAGAAAAGAAAGACAAAATAAAATTGAAATATATTAAAGATAGAAAAAATACTAAAATATGAAAATAAAAACCAACCCCCCCCCCCAAAAAAAAAAAAAACACGAAAAAACAACAACAACACTTGCCTTCCCTTTACAATAGTAACGTGATTCGGGTAAGCTTTTTCATTAACTAATGAGTATACTAATGCCCCAACCAGTGGCGTAGTTATACTAAGAACATGTGCCCACGTGCGCCGTCCCATTGGAAAAAAGGTAAATTATACCCCAAAGAGGGAATAGAGGCTGGGCAAGGAAATTTGAAAAAGAGATAAATAGTCCCCCTCACACAAAAACATTGTTCTCTCGTAATTCACCCTCCTTGAATTAACAGTGCCCTCTATAAAATCAGTGCCTTCAATAGCTAGACTGATGCTACGCCAGTGATCCTTACCATTTCGTATGACCAATTTCATATTTCCTATGTTATCGGGGGGAAATTTAAAGTCCTTAGATATTATATTCCTTTTAGTTTTCCTTCAGAAGATTATTTCCATATAAGTCTTAATGAGGAACATATCTTCAAACCCCGTTTTCTTAGGGTGCGTTTATGCTCATTTTTAGGCAGAATGAGCGTTTTGAAACGCTCATCGTAAACGCTCATCGTAATGCCCGCGTCACACTGTCCCAAAGTTAACACAAGATGGACACACGACTTGGGGCGTGTAAGTTGTTAAGGATCCAATTCCTCCACATAGACGGGACGGCATTGTGTACAACATCCCTTGTAAAGGATGTGATAGATCCTACATCGGTGAAACTGCCCGTCCGATAAAAGAAAGAATCACTGAGCATAAGAGGGACGTCAGACTCCGTCGAACTGACAACTCAGCCGTAGCCGAACATGCTTGGGATAACCAGCATCAACCAGACTGGGACGGGGTTCAGTGCCTTTCCAAGGAACGGCATTGGTATACACGGAGGGTTAAAGAAGCTATCAATATCCGTCTCAATCCTAAATAATTTCAACAGAGACAACGGGATCGATATCCCCGAATTTTGGATGCGGACGATACGGCGCCATGACACTCGCCGTCCTGCCAGCCAACAACGGTCGATTCCATTCAGCAGACGGCCCGAGCCAGCGGCCCGTTGATTGGTTGAGTACCGTATGCGTCGGCCAATAGGCCTGGTGCATCAGCCGAACCAGCGGCCGAACCAGCGGCCTTGGTGATTGGTCGATCACCGTGTGCGTCGACCAATAGGCATTGGGCGTTATTGTTCCAATTATCGATCGAATTATAGACCGCTCCGCCGGTCCTCCCGTAAAGTATAAAAGACCCTTGCTTACTATATTTTTTATCACCTGACGAAGTATCGCAGTAGCATACGAAACGTCGTGATCTTTTAGATTCCTTATTGACCACATTGCGAGACAAACGAATATCACTAGCGATATTATTTTCGATACTACATCCGCAATGAGTAATATATTTAGCATTACCCCTTTTTAACTCCGATAATCGCACCTTTTATTTTCACATGTGACCCTCTTCCTTTCTAATAAGTGCCCCTTTTTCATTATGATAAGTGCCCCCGTTGAAAAAGAGCCCCTTTTCCTTCTCATAACCTTTTCAGGTACGATAAGTGCCCCTTTTCACCTTTGCTAATTTCCCTTTTAACAATGATACGTGCCCCTTTTCCTTTCTAATTAGGGACCTATCCCCTTTTCATAAATGCCCCTTTTCACCTCTTATAAATTGCCCTGTCAAATATGATGGGTGCGACCATTTCCGTCGACAAATGCCCATTTACCATTCTTATAAGTGCCCTTTTCCCGGGTGAGTGCCTCTTCTGAGGTATAAGAAGTGCCCCATTTTCACCTCTGAAAATTACCCTTTTCCTTTCATCATTAAACGTGCCCCTAATTTAAAGCGACTAAGAGCAATTTCCCCCAAATCTCGCTCGCTACACACACTCGTAGTTATAGATATAGATGATATAATTATGTTACTTATTAAAGTTCTGTTCAGTCTTCCATTATGAGAATGTGCTTATAACCCCATTAGGATTAGGTTTTTTTTCCTCTTTATAAGATGTAATTTGTCGCACGGCGACGTCACAAATCTTAATTTTTTTCCTCGCTTCATTTGCTCGCAAATGAATATTTATACCATCACATCCAACTGCAAAGTATAATGCTGAAGCAATATCTTGTATGATGTACAAAGAGAAACAAATATTGAAAGCATCCCAGAGAATGTAATCACAATGTAGTGGTATATACCAATGTCTAAAAAATTGTATGTTTTCGCTTTGAGATTTTCCCTTTGAAGGTGCCCTATTTTATACAGAAAGTGCCCTTTTTGTTGGTGCCCCCCCCCCCCACTTTGGAGCATCAATAATCTCCGAACAGCAATTGATTTCCCACGGTCGGCCGAAGGTTTTATAACATCGGGGGGAGGTCACGCGACGCCTTCGTGACCTAGTTCGAACGCATCGAACTCTCAATACGACGTCATGAAGCCATCGTGTAGCCTTCGTGTGGCCTGCGGGTAAACTACTTAATAAAAATTCACATCTTCGTGTTGCCTTCGTTTGTGGTTCGGGAGCTATCGTGTGTTGATCGGCTGCTGACCAAGTTCGGGGCCATCTTCGTGCGAAATTCAAAATTCCATATTCGTGTGTCTAACTGGAGTCAACTTCGGGACAGTGTGACGCGGGCATAAACGCAGTTCCACGGGGTACTGTTTATGCTTCCCTTCTCCAGCTCTTCCAGGCAAATTCGGGCTCTGCAGCTGGATTCGCAAGCCTGCACTGCGCATGCAACGTTTATTATGTCGTCATTTAAACGCGTTTACAAATGATTGTGCGTTTATGCTTCCCGATAAACCGTCTTTTTGGAGAAACGCCGATCCAAAACGCACTTTTTTGTGAGTTTACGATCGGCGTTTTAGATCGACGTTTATACGAAAATGAGAAAGGACGCAACCGTGTTTTTAACTAAACGCGTAACAAGCCTCATTCTCGCCTAAAAAAAATTTGAGCATAAACGCACCCCGACTCAGCTGGATGATTGTGGATTGTCAAATTTGTCACCGGTCCAGTCATCGTGCAGCTTTTGACATTTGACCCTCCAGAAGCATTAATAGATTGGTCATCTCCACTCTGATGAACTGTTACAAGTTCTGTAAAATGAAAGAACGATGTTATCTATTATAATTAGATACATAAGCATCATCATCATCACCATCACCATCTAGGACTCACTCTCCCAACACCTACAACTCGACGGCTTCCGTGCTGTGTTTTGACATTATATATTATGTATAGAAGATTAAAGAAGAGAAACGAGCAAAGAAAGCTATGTTACAGTTCTTCAAAAACGAAAATCCACCAGGAAACATTAGAATTGATTTCGAAAATATTCCTGTTAGGCCTTACGTGGACCATTTAATTCGGTAAGTGCCAACATTTTGGACACTTAAGCAAAGATTGCCACGCAAAAAGCCCGCGATGTGCAAGGTGCGGCGAAAATCACGAATACAATGAGTGTAATAACAAAGAATTGGCGCCAAAATGCGTTAACTGTTCAGGCCCGCACTCAGCAACATATCAAGGGTGCCCCAAATATAAAGAACAAAATTAATTCTTACAGTAAAAGGAGACAAGAACATCTCCTACGCCGAGGCTGCCAAAAAAATTAAAGCACAACCCTCCCTGAATGCAACCAAAACACAACCTATGCAAAACCCAAGAAACCCCCTTCCAATTCCAGCTATTGATGCTGCCAGCAATGATCCGATTAGGCCAGAAAGCACCGAATCAAATCGTTAAAACAATGTGAACGAACCTAATGCTCCGTCTGCGTCAGGAATGTTGTCCAACCGACAAAGGCAGCAACCACATGACCCTCCAAAAATGTTGGAACATACTGAAAGGAAGGACAGATTTTTAGAGTTTATAGCTTATCTTACCAAGGTGATATATTTCACAAAAACAGAAAACAAAACTTGAAAACATTTTGAAAACAATAACCGAACAGAGTTAAAGAGATTTTGAACATCAAATTAGACCCTTCTATTTTGATGACTCTTATAAATAAAGAAAGAACGCAATGACCAATAGGACAGATAACGCAGTCCTAGGATTGCACATCGCCCAATGGAATGCACAAGGTTTAATACATCATATGGATGAATTTCAAAATTTTGTTTATAATCTTAACAAAAAGCCTCATGTTTTATGCACAGTTCACGATTGTAAACTTCTACAATCCCTGTAAAAACTGAGTAAACAAAATCTAAAGGCCATAACGCGGCATAAGAATAAGAATCTGATAGTTTGTGGTGATTTCAATGGCCACAACACTATTTGGGGGAAGTGTAACAACTGATCCAAATGGTTGAGAAATCGAAGAGTTTGTAGCAGACAGTAATCTCGTAAATATTAAATATTGAATGATGAGAGGGGAACCCGGTGGGACCCCCAAACAGGGAAGCTATCGTGTCTCGATCTTACATTAGTCGCTCCAGCTTTAGCAGCAAAGAGCAAATGGGAAGCAACTCGAGAAAATCTAGGTAGCAGTCGTTTTATTATAAATACCTATATAGGAAAGGTACAAAATGGGCATATATCCAAAATTACCGATAGTAGGTGGCCTTTCAAGCATGCAAATTGGAGGCTTTTCAAAGAATTATCCTCAACACATATAACCGATGAACTATAAAGAGATTTGGATACTCAGTCTTCCTATCATAACTTTGTTTTTGTTTTGTATAGTTATCATGGTATGTGCATTTGCATGGGGGAAATTGTGGCTGGTACAAGTTATTACAGACTGATTTTTGCCGTGGTTGTGATATAGACAAATTTCAAGGATGTATCATGAATGGATATGTAGTTAATTATACATTGATTTGTAAATGGTGGAATGATTCTGATAGTTCAAAAGAAAAAGGAATTCAAGGGTTAAGTACTAGCAAAAGAATGGAGATGGCCTATCAAACGTAGGGAGGAGTCGGCATATTTCTTTGGCTGCAGGCCTCTGAAAAGAATACGTTCAAAAATATTTGTCAGTATTTCGTGGTAAGTTATAGATGATTTGTCTGTCACAGGTTAAAAGTGGAAAGTATGTTCATACTTTCTGTTTAAATCCCCTAGTTAGTATCGCCACATTAAATGATAAATGTCTAACACATGGTCGCGACATGAATGAGGTCTGCGTAGACTAGCTTTACATGATGAATTTCATGTTAATGGCCTTTTATTTTAAAATTGAATATTATTCATTCGAAGAAAGAAAAATACTTACTGCATCCTCTCTTTGGACGACTACCCGACGGTGCAGCTGCAAATTGACGAAATTAAAACATAATTAACAAATAGCTATCATGCCGATTAGTATTGTCTATTGATTACAAATTGTCTTACACAGATTTTCCATAAAAATTGTATGGAGAGAGGGAGAGGGGGAAGTGAAAGAAAGAGAGAGAGAGAGAGAGAGATCTGACGTAAGGCATATAAGTCAAAGACCACCCCTACCTCTTCACTCTAACTAAAAAGTAACTTCCTAATCCCCCTCCAAAATGTAAGGACTCAGAAATATACATTTAGTAGCAGTTTATTGCCACATAGCCCTAGCTTTATTGTTGTTTTCACTGGGTATTCAATACTGTGTACATCAATTACAAATTATTTCTGGAATCTTATGATCAAATTAGGTGAACCAAATAGATTAAAATTTATAGCAAATTATATTGTTTTTCTAGATATATCACTTCGTTTATCTTTCGTTTTGAGATATTATTGCTTTTATCTAAATTAATGAACTAAAAACAAGTATTTGTCTAATTACCTTCATCAGATTCCTCCTCTTCTTCATGAACTTCATCTATAGGGTTAATTTAATAAAGTGAATTAAAAAGACAATGTTATATGTATAAAGCTTAAATCATGATATCAAATGTCCTATGTAGGCCTACATCTAATTTTCTGCGAAAACAGTACCATCGTGGAGAACTGATTATAGTTCTCCACGTCAGGTCAGGTAAGTGTTGCAGGTTTGTCAATGTGCATATATTTTGTTTAAATGGGCGCAAAACAAAAATGAATAAACATCATGATTAAGACACTAAATGATAAATGCTTGCCTTGAAACGTTCTAACTGACACATATAGATTACAATTTTTAAATCATAAAGATACGAATATATTTACGAGCAGTTATCATTTCATATACACTTGTGATTTTAAATAATACCTTAGGTGGTTCATATTATAGTTCGTGTGGAAAATCAGTCTACACTTAGATATTATTGAAAGAGATTAATTGATTTGACTGAATTATTGAATTGAAAACAAATATTTTCCTAATCAATGAATGAATTTAATTTTATTAGAATGTATGTGTAATACTTGTAAAGGTATTTTCTTTTTGTTGTTCTCTCATACCCCGAGAAGGGGTCGATAGAGTTGATAAATATTATACTACTATACTATTATATACTAGATGGGACCTAGGGGCACAAGCCCCCCTCCTCCCTAGAGAAAAAAAACCCCACAACTATTCAAGCCCCTCCAAACAAAATTTGGGAGGCACATTTAGAAATTGAATGAAAGAACGCCAAGCCCCCCCCCCAAAAAAGTACCCCGAAGCTGCCCCCCCCCCTCCCCCATCAAATAGGCCTACATAGATTGTGTGCTGGCAAGCCCGAGCTCGATGAGTGCTTAGAGACGCCATCGATGAATTAAGTGCAATATAAAACCAGAATATTATTATCATTATTATCTAAGCAGTACAGAAGAAGTCTTTGCTCAGTAATTAAATACTCTATCGACATGAAACATAATATTCAAGAGTGTTCACTTGTGTTTTATAAAGAGAAATATTTCTGGTATTGCTAATTATCAGGTCTCACCATTTGTATTTTTGATTCCAGCCATGGCTATGAGTCCGTTTCATAAATGGATCTGTGAAGATAAAAGCATATTGAAAGAGAAGACAGAAAATAAGCTAAAGATGATATTACAAATAGAAAACGGTGTAAATGTTCATCTCATTTTAGGTAATAAAATTTAACAAGGTGGACAGAAATAGTTTGCAGTTTACTTCATTTATTTATAACATTTTGGAGACATCTACAGAACCAGAACTCTTGTCCCCTTTAAATCTCAGATGATTCGCTTTAATATGATGGACTGATTACAATAGAAAGTCTACTAATCACAGTTTTGAAGGTCATTTTTTTTATAATGAACTAAAAGAATGAAAACTCAAAGTTCGAGCTTTCAGTATGAACACCAGTTTTTACAAGTTTAATAAATAAGTAAATCAATGAGTTTAACAGTATTATGTTGAGATTTACTAAATTTACTTAACAGTTTGGATACAACGACAAAAACAGAACTTAGGTCACCTTTAAATCTCAGGGTACTCGATTTAATGTTGATGAAAAGGGTAAACAAATACTTACCGCTGTTCTAAAATGTCGTTTTAATGTTTAGTTTTGTTTCAAATACTCAAAACGAGAGTCAACTCTACTGTCTGACATGGTTTATAGCTCTACTTTCAGAGGCGGCTCCTCCTTGACCACACCCCACATCCCTCACGGACATTCCTTTACCAAAACATCATCCCAAGGTCGATATGATGTGACGTACATTCAGTAATACCTCAGTTACACCAACACGAACGACATCAGACCGATAACAGACCGAGCAATCAATCATAATAATTATAAAATTTATAACCAAAGATCCGTCGATTTGAATCGGTTTAGATATGGTTTAGCGTTGTCACTAAAGTATAAGCACTTGTGTTAGGTCCGTGGTGTAAGCAAGTCCACCAAAATCCACCCCTATACAAATTTTCATTTTCAAGAAGTCAACTCGAGGGTCAATTTTAACACCTTATCACAAATAAAAATTGTTATCAATAACGAATGCTAAATTTTTATGACAAATTTGCTCTCAGCCAATCAGATGCCACGATTTCAGTTTCAGCTTATAACAGTTATTGTAACTTGTTATTGATAACATGTTTTATGAAACAGGGCACTGATAAGGCATTTTTCGACTTGAAAGTCAGAATATGATTAATACCAACATAGTTTATAGCAAATGAAGAAAAAAAATGAAATATTCGCATTGGTTTTGAGTCTAAGAAGAGTACAGATAATAAGGTCAACTCAGACTCGAGCAAGGGCTCATTTACAAGCGAAATTAATGATATTCTCTTTGCTTCGATGACACAATCTTGGCTTCTCTCGCATCGCTTGTTTTAGGTAAAATGGACATCGATGATATCTACTTATCTTCTTCAAGAAATGCTACTGTCAATATCTTTGGAATTTATTATCATGACTGCCTTTCTTGTATATACTGATTATGTGAGGTTAGTAAACTTCCAAGTTTTTATGTACGGTTCGAGACAAATATATAATGCACCTTACCCAACGTAATTAAGCGTGTGAAGTGGTGCAATCGAAAAGTGAGATTTTATATATCATGAGACAAGAACTCAAAAGACTGTTTAATATACTTTAAGGCGATCCTGTGGATTGAAATAAGGTCATGCGAAAGCTTAGAAACATTGTACCACTTTAAACAATGAAGCACTGATGCACTAAACAGATTTTTAACGTTTAAAAGGATTTAAGACCAAAGTTACGCTTGCATATAGCCTGACTCACATTGGGTGCATCGATCATAATAAACTTGGTACATACAGATTTTGACGGCACTTATTAAAAAACCCTGGTGCTTATTCATACGAGGCAGGACAATTATGGATAAGGTATCATCAGACAGGAAACAACCCTCTTCCACAAAATAGATTCATAGGTCTCAGTTATGACGTTATAGTTATGAGCTACTAAAGTTTGGTATACTTTTTTGATACACACTGTATAATACTGCTTAGCTTCTTGTAGCAAAGGCATTACAATCTCCACTAAGAAAAAATGAAAATATTTCGAATAAAATGAATTTAAAGAAATACCTTGATTGAAATCATTTGTTATGTTGGTCACGCACACCAGTTTTACATCAAAGAAATCTGGAGAGCGTGGGTGATAGACGCTCAAAAGTTTTTTAGCGAAACAGATTTTAAAGAGGAAAATTACAAAGGAAACTGAGGGAGTAAAAATACATGCATTTCTAAATATGGGCATATTTCCCCGTTTAGCTTTGATGCAAACGTGGCTTGGAAATCATACAAGAAGAATCCAACAAACTTAACATAACTGAAAAGTGATTCCAATAACTAGTCTTTAGTTAATGACACTTTTAATTAAAAAAAATTATATTCACGCTCTCAGAACTCAATGGAGAAGGTAAGAGATTAAAATTTAAAATAATAAAGTAGGGCCTATTCACCGTAGGTTAAACACTAAAAAATGAATACCGAACCGTTATGTTAGCAATGGAGTGACATACTTGAACCCAAGCGGAGTTCCCCTTAATATACTCACCTGGAGAACAATAGTATATACAGTAGGTTTGCGGGTGCACCATGTGAGAGAGAGAGAGAGAGAGAGAGAGAGAGGGTTGAGGAGTCCTGAAAAGGGCTCTGACTAACTCCTTGCTCTGACTCAGTAATCTTTTTTAGGGGTGTGGTAGTCCTGAAAAGGACTATTTGTTATCTTTCTTAGCATATAGTTCTAAGGAGAACTATAGCGCTTGGAGAGGATGAGTGGCTCGACGTTTCGAACAGGTTGACTATCCGTCGTCATGAGTGGAGAATGGCTGGCGTGCGTGGGCTTAAGTCACCGGGGTGCGGACGTCAGGGAAAAATAGGTGACCGTTTTGGCAAACTAATAAACTATTCTGATGCCTTAACTACGTAGGGAATAAGAAACTGTGTTCATTTGGGACAATCATAACTCAGTCGCTTTCGATAGGCCAATGCCCAATATCACTAATACTAAAACTCACTATATACCAATTAAAATAGGCTGCACAAACATAGTTGGAAAACATACTTGGTCTAATAAGTATTACTAGGCCGATTGTATTCATCCAAAAGAAATCATGTTCAGATTGTAAAATAAGTCATCGCCATGTTTGCCCATTTCAAACGTTGATGGACAATGATATTCGATTGATTTTCCAAAGTCGTTTTTATTTTTTAGCCTAAGGTTGGCCCCATTTCGTCAAGTATAGATTTATTCTATATTTTCTCCTTGTTTTGTTTCCCAATATTCAAATATTATAATTCAGGGCTCTCTTGCAAAGCAGTATTTATGTACTGAAGAAACTATTATGTTTATAGAACACACCAAAGATAAACGAGTTAATGAATGAATAAATATATTTCTAGCTCTAACAGTATCCATAGTAAATATTCCAGTATAACTTTTCCAACCTTTACTAGACATTTAGTGACGAAACATGGCCTTGAATTGCCCCTCCCCCCCCCCAGAAAAAAACAAAACAAAATAAAATAAAATAAATTATACAAATAAATAAATAAATATATAATTAAAATAAAAAAGGAATTCTACGCCCCTCAGAAGCGGAGAATACACGTATCATGCATAATCATGGAACATATCGATCAAAGCATACAAAACATGAATTAATATTGTCAATTTACACAGATTAACGATCAAATAATGTGTCAAGTCTAAAATCTTGCTGCATGGAATAAACCTGTAAGAAATCCAAGGTCACTGCAGAAAGACCTGTATGTTATGGAGAAAGTGTTTTTGAGCATGCTGCCTCTGAGCTAAGGAATACTGTCACGTCAAATTTAAGGCAAGTATTTTATATCTGCTCAGAAAACGTATTTTGATTTAATTTATTAATTGACAATTGTACTTATTATTCAAATGTTTCACTTTCTCCTCAATCAAAGCGTGTTTAGACCCTTTTTTCAATGGTTAATGCGTTATAATTATAAGAAGTGTATCGCTATTATTATTTTGTGCATATGATTATACAAGGATTCCCTAAATAAGGTTTTTAGATATGTGTTTTTAGTCAACATATATAAAAATTAAACAATTAAATCGTGCAGATAAAATATTGTGTTGTAAGTTAAGAGTAACAATAATTTGGTCATAGATAGGGTTTGTCTATAGGACATCAGGATATAAGCATCTGGCATATACCAAATAACTGAGAAAGCAGAATTGGAATAAAGTAATGGAATGAGACAAATAAATTGCAAATGCTCATTAGAGGTGGAACATATTTTGAATATGTTTAATATTTCATTCTTTGTACTAATTCAAGAAGAATTGTAAAAGTTATAGCATTTTGTATTGATAAACTATTGCAAGTGTAATAGACTACAGTCTCGACTGGGTGTCACCTGTGACTTATCCGTATGAAATGTTTATGATTATGGTTGTGTGAAAAGTTGGCCAGACTCTTGGCCTTCAAGCTTGCAGGGAATATCCTCTTAGCCTCAAACTTACACAAAAATAACCACACTTACAGCAGCAAAAACATCTACAATTATCTAAATGGAAGAATATTGATAGTTTTTTTTTTTTTTTGTAATATTCTTTATTGTATTCACTCAATAAATAATATTAATTCATACAAATTGTAATATATAACATATTGAAACCAATTACAGAGTACAAAATACAGTAATCTCAATTATATTGAATGAATTAATATTGTTATAACCCCCCCCCTCTATATTTTGTTCTGCAGTACTAGTATCCCTATTACATATTATAATTTATAACATATTGGAACAAAGTACAGACTACAATCAACTTAGTTATATCGAATGAATAAAGTTTGTTATATCCCCTACTCCCGTTAAAAACAAAACCAACAACAACAAACACAAAACAAAAACAGAAAACAAAACAAACCACACAAAAAAGAAAAAAAAAAAAAAAAAAAAAAAACGATACAAGAAGACGTGGGCAGTCTATGGCAGTCGAGACCGGTCAATCACACACAGCTGTGAACCGGGCAGGCCC